GAGTCAAGGAAGGCTCCTTCCCAGAGAAAGCTGGCCCAGATCTCCGGTCCCTCTGTTTTTCACCTCCCTGGCAGCAGACATCAGAGGGCTCATGCTGTCACCTCACATGCCGTGCCCCACTGGGGGTGGGAAGGGGAGGCCACAGCATGGCTGGGCTTCCTGGCAGCCGCCTGTGCCTTTCAGAAGTAGGAGGCATCAAGGGCCCTCCCCCCACCACAAAACACACAATTGGGAAACACTTGCAAGCGCAGCCTCTAGTATGCTGCTAAATTCAGCAGAGAATTGCACACCCCAGATGCCTGACAACAGAAGCTGACAGGCAGGGATGGATGGCTCAGGCAGGCTCAGCAGGCAGCCCACTTCACACACACACACACACACACACACACACACACACAGGCGCACACATCCGTGTGGGGGGAGGGGCTGCAGAACCAGCCCAGCGGGTTTGGGGTCCCGCCCTCCCTGGGCTGCAGGCCAAAGCCCCCCATCTCCCACAAGGCCTGAGAAAGGGCGCACACCTACCTTAGTGGGAGGATTTGTCAAACTAGGCCTGCTTCTGCTGTCCAAAGGATTGTCCACTCTGGGGATACCTGGACGTTGCCCCTTCTCTGGCCAAGAACCTGGGAGAGGTGGGAGGAGGCAGAGAGCTGGTTAGGGCAGCCCCGATGGCAGGTCAGACAGTTAACTGGCCAAATGCAAACCGGACAGGGTCTCATTGACGGGAGGGGAGTCTTACAAATGCCACCCCCCCCAGCTGCCAAGGCGGCCCTCACTCTGGAATGGATAGCAGGGGGGCTGGCTGAGTCACGAAGGTTCAGCTCGGGCGACGAGCAGCGGGAGGCGACTCATCTGCATTTCCAAAGGCCCGCCCCGTCCGCATCCCCTCCCCTAGGAAGGGCCGGAGATCTGAGGGTTTACCCCACAGCCCTCCGCCTAGGGGATCCCGGGGGAGGCCAACTCAGCTTTCCCATGCCCCAACCCCCACCTCCTGCCCGGAGAGCTGGGTTGGAGGGGTGTGCCCTGGGCGGCCAAATGGGGCGTCTGCGGCCACCAGGAGGGCCTCTCGCCCAACCTGGGACAAAGGGGGCGACCCGCCCCTCCGGCTCGGCTATCAAAGGGCTATTGGGAGGCCAGGCCTGGACGCCTAGGACCGGGGGGATGAGGGTGGAGGTGCCGCCTGGGGTCAGGGCCGGGCCGCGGGGAGGCTTCGGAGGCCTCTGGAGGAGCCGGTTGGAGTGAGGGGGCGGCCTCGAGGCCCTTTGCTACTGGCTCCCGCGCGGGAGGGAGGAGAAAGAGTAGCGGCGACTCGGCCGGAGCGAGGCCTCCTCGTGCCCGCCTGGCCTCCGAGTCGGGGCCTTCCCCGGCCCCTGGAAGGCAGGCGGCGGCTCGCCCGGCCTCCGCTCCCCTCCCCCCGGCCGCCGCCGCCGCCGCCGCCCTCCCCTCCTCCCGCCTGGCGCTCGGCGGCCGCCACCGCCCCAGCCACGGGCGGCGCGCGAAATGGCGCCCGTCTGGCCGCCGCGCCTGGCGGAGGCGAGCGCGGGAGCCGCGGCGCGCGACGCCCCCGAGGCCCGCAGCCGCCCAAACGGCCCCCGAGACCTGCCCCCCGGCCCTGGGCGCGGTACCCCGCGGGCTCTCCGGGCCCGCCCTGGCCGCAGGCCCGCCTCCCGCTCCGGACTCCCAACGACAGCAGGGAAGGAGGGAGGAAGAAGAGCGCCGGCCGCCATTAGCCAGCGCAGCCCTGGTTAGGGCCGGCCGAGCCCGGCCTGCCCGCCGGCCCCAAACCCAGCCCCAGCCCGCGGATGAGCTCGAAGCCTGAAAATAAAACTCGTGTTTGGGAGGGAGGAGCGAGCGCAGGAAAGACAGGCAGCGCCGGGGCTGCAGGCGGGAGAGATGCTGCGTCATGGTGCCAATATGGACGCCGGCCTTTTGTCCTTTTTCCCTTTGGAGGTGCAGGCGCGCCCCTGAGTCCCAAAAGCCGAGTTCGGGGTGCGAAACCCCCACAATCAAAAGGGAAAGAAGCTCAAAGCCGGACGGGGAGGTTTCCTCGTCTTTTGAGCCCCCTATCTCCAAAGCATTTCACTTTGTCTCCCTATCAAGGCTCAGACCTGGGAAGGGCGAGGGGGATCAGCGCAGGTGGCTCCTCGGATGCCCAAGAGTCACTATAGAGTCCCCTCTTCTCGCCCCTAGGGCAGAAAAGGTAAAGGGGTCTTAAGAGCCTTCCTTGTCCCCCATTCCCCGCTCCGGCTGCCAAACACAAAGCTCCACAATCATCCTCTCCCCTCAGCTCCCAAACACTCGCAGTCCTTGGCCTGCAAAAGGATTTCCTCGAAGGGGCAAAAGGCACTTTTTTTTTTTTTTTTTTTTTTTTTACTTACCCGCTCAGCCCGGTGCCATGGAGTCTAGAAGATCAAGCTGGGCGGTGGTTTTGGAGATGTTATTGTAAAAATATCTTTTTTGTTTGTTTAGTTGGGAAATTTGGGGGTTATGGTATTGTCTTTTTTGTAAGTTACCTTTTTGTAAGTTACACTCTATGTCATTTTCTGCTCCTTCCACTTCTGCAAACTCTCCAGTGTTGGGTTGGCAAAAAGGCGGCTTCGCTGAGGACTGTTTACTGCTCGGGATATAGCAATGGTGTGATCGTCATTAAGAGACAAAAGGCGAAAATACACAGTCAAATCAAACAAAAGGCAAAAGACGCATCAGCCACCCAACCACCATAGAAAATAACCCCAGTTAACGTTGGTGTTTGGCTCGAACCAGCTAGGACTTGTTTTCCAGTTTTAATCTAGTTTCCTGTGACGGCTTTAGTCTCTCGACACAAAGAGAAGGTCTTCCTTTCCCTCACCCCCTCCACCCCACCCGACCAAAGAGGAGAAAAACAAAACTGTTTTTCTTCAAATAGATTGATTTTCAAAGAAAGTGTACAAGTTACTGGGAAGAAAGCTGACTAGCATTTATTGCTGTAAACATTTTCAAAAGCATAAAGCTAAAACCTTAGCTTTATAAAAGCAAAATCATCTAAAAGCATTTTTAACTGGCTTATCTTAGACAAGAGAGACAAAGACATACATGCAGATGAAGGTTCGGAAAATTAAGGACATCTCGGCAACATTAACATGAAAACTGCACTGCGTAAGGACAGAATGGATTGGGTACTTACAACGTAAAAGGTTTTTAAAAACTTAAAAGAGTAACAATTGCTCACAATTTTTTGTTGCTGCCATTTCGCTAGTCCTAAAACTATACATTTAAAACATTACCTTGTTAAAAAGAGAGGAGTTAATAAGATGGCCAGGTTTAAGTGTTTAATAGAGGAAACTATATATTTAAAAATTTATTGTTCAGTCAAGAGAATACAGATTAAGACAGCTCCAAGCTCCCCCCACCCACCCAAAGAAAAAAAGAGGAAAAAAAATTAAATATGTCATTTACTTAGGTTTTTTGGAATTCAAAATTGTTAACTGCTGACATTAATGGTGTGCTATGACCTAGTTATACAAGACAAAGATGGATTCCAAGTCATAAGGAAAAATCCAGATCTTTTTAAAAAGTCTTCTTCATTCTTCCAATTGTGAGTCCTTTGGCCTGTTGACAAATGTTAAACAACACACTGAGGCGTCCTGAACTGGATGGTGGAGTCAAAGGAAAAACATTCCCCATTTGCAACAAAGGAAAAACCCACTTGGCCATTTAATTCCATTGCAGAAAAATGGCTCCCCTCATCTGTTGGCCTCTCCTTGGTGTCTGATGAAGGATGTTTTGAGATCAGCGTCTAATAACTCAAGCCCTATAGAAGCCGCGCGCTGATTGGCTGCCGCGCCCTGCCGCCCTGCTCCAGCCAATTACCTACCCACGGCCAAATTACAAACCCCGAAAAGAGCCCCAATATGAAATACACCACCACGAAGCCCCAGCGAGGCGGCTCCTTCGCCTCGGCCGCCCGAAAGGAGAGGCAGAGGGGGCTGCGAACGCGTCCTCGCGAAGCCCGGGAGCCTCGTAGTTGAACTCACAAAATGGAAGCCGCGCGCTGATTGGCCGCCGCCACTCCCGGACCTTTAATAAAGAAAGGGGAAGGAAAAGATAAATGCAAAAAAGGGGGACTCTCTCCTCCGCCGGTGGCTGGAGGAAGAAGGGGGAGGGAGAAGCATGTGTTCAGGACAATTACAGGGCGCTCCCCTCCAAAAATAAAAACAGAGAAAAAGGCTTCTATCGCCCCAGTGCAGGCGAGGGCTGCATCCTCCCAGGAATGTGAATGCTAATTTGGTTAAAATCCTGGCCTCCCCTCCCCAGCTCGGCTCCGGGGGGAGGGGGTCGCCGGCCAGAAGAGGAAGCCGGAGCTGAGATACCTCGATTGCAACTCCTGTCGAGTCGACGTCTGCCTCCCCCCACGGCTGCCAGCGTCCACACACACAATCGGCCCCAAACCCAGCCCTTGTCCCCGAGTCCCCACGCGCCCACCTCCGGCCGTGGCAGTTTGAAAACAGTTTTGGAGGCCCCAGGCGCTCGCCGCGGCGGCCGCGGCTCGGAGGGCAGCCCCAGCCGCGGGAGGTAGAGCCCGGGGAGACCCCCTCCCCCGCCAGCCGAGCCCCCCAGCTCAGTCCCAGCAGAATAAATAAATTAAAAGGCCTTCCCCCCGGGGAGGGGGAGGCAGTGTGGGAGCGCGCGAGTGAGGGGTGGGGGGCCGCTGGGGCCCGGGGCTTTGGCGGCGCAGCTGCCGCCGCCGGGAGAGTGCCTGGGGAAGCGGCGAGGAAGGAGAGGGGAGGAGGAAGAGGAGGAGGAGGAGGAAGAGGAGGAGGGTGAGCGCTCGGGTCGGGCTCCTTAGCGGTGTATTGTGGGATGTGCGGCTACTGGGAGCCGAGCCTCCGCCGCCAGCCGCCTCCCGGGCAGCAGCAGCAGCAGCAGCGGCGGCGGCAGCGGCAGCAGCTCCGGGCCCGGCAGCCGCGGCGGCGGCGCCCCCCCCTCCCGGCCCCCCGTCCGGCCGCCCCGGCCTCGGCTCCCGCGGGGGACACCATGTACTGGCTGGCGGCGCGGGGAGGCCGGCGCCCGGCGGGGATGTAAGCGCGGCGCGGGGAGGGAGAGGCCGCGGCCAGCAGCCGGGCGGCCCGAGCCCCCGGCCCCGGCCCGAGCGGGCGGGAGGGCGGGCGGGCGGCGGCGCCAGGCCTGCCGCGAGCCCCGCGCCCCGGCCGGGCCGAGCGAGCGAGCGGGAGCCACGCCGGGCGGCCGGGCGGCACCATGGGCCGGAGCCCGCGTCCTCCGGGCGCCCCGGGCCCCGCCGGCCCGCAGCGGGGACCCCCGGGAGCCCCTGGCTGGCGCCCCGAGACGGTGGCCGAGCGGGCGGGCGCGTAATTCTCCCGGAAGGGTTATTCTCTCGTTCCATTCTTATTTTGGGGGGAGCCAGCGAGACAGCTCCTGTCGGGGCGAGCTGGTGAGGTGGGAGGGGGTGGGGGCTGGCCGATTTGATTCTTTCGCGTGTGTGTAGAAGCGGCCGCCGCCGCCGCGGCGGAGACGACAACAACTTGCTCGTTTTCAGGTTGGGTTAACGGCATGGAGAACAGTCACCCCCCCCACCACCACCACCAGCAGCCCCCGCCGCAGCCCGGCCCTTCGGGCGAGAGGAGGAACCACCATTGGAGAAGTTACAAGTTGATGATTGACCCGGCTCTGAAAAAGGGGCATCATAAACTGTACCGCTACGATGGGCAGCATTTCAGCCTGGCGGTGAGTAGCCGGCGCGCCTCCCGCCACCCCCACCCGCCCCCCAGCCGCGCCAGGGCAGAGGGGCCGAGCGCCGGGGACCCCCCCTCCCGGCCACCCGGCCAACTGTCAGCCAGGGCCCCAGCCCTGGAGTTTGACAAGTGCCTGGAGAAGGGGGTCAGCCCCTGTCCCTGGGGAGGGGGACCAGCCCTCCCATCCCGCCCCCCCGCTTCTCCCCGCAGATGTCCAGCAACCGCCCGGTGGAAATTGTCGAAGATCCCCGGGTCGTCGGGATCTGGACCAAAAACAAGGAGCTGGAGCTGTCGGTGCCCAAATTCAAAGTAGGACCCCTCCCCCTGCCCCGCGGTCCCTCCCCCCACCCGGAGTTCGAAAATAACGCCAGTCCTGACCGAGCCCAGCCGTCTTCCGAATTCCCGCCGTCCGGGGCCGGGGAAGTTTTGGCGGGGAGGGGGAGACTGCTGCGGAGAGGGGTGTCCCTTCTCGGCTAATGTAAACAAAATAACACTCAGAGAAACTGTAATCTAGGCGCTGATACAGTGTCCCGCCCGCCCGCTCAGCTGGGGGCTCCCGGTCCCCACCTGGCTCCTGCCCGCCCAAGAGCTTGGCCTTGGGACCCACCCCCCCTTCGGAGCCTTGTGGCTTTAGGGGGACAACTTCCTAGCCCAAAGGGTTGCCCCTGACCTGGCCCAGGAAGAGGAGGCCGGAATGGGCGGGGGGGGAAGAGAAACTGTTTCTTTTTCCCCTTTTCTTCCGAACCCAGAGGACTTCCACGTTCCAAACGATTTAATCCTCCGCTTCCCGGGCCCGCCCGCGTGCATTTTTTTCCCCCAAAATTTTTTTTTAATTTTTTACCCTTCATTGTTTTCAACGGATGGGCGAGTGGGGAATGCTGTGTTTTCCCTTCGGTTTCAATGTTCTCCAAACGCCCTTCCCCCTCGGCCCCTGCCAGATCGATGAGTTCTACGTGGGCCCGGTGCCTCCGAAGCAGGTGACATTTGCCAAGCTGAATGATAACATCCGCGAAAACTTCCTGAGGGACATGTGCAAGAAGTATGGGGAGGTGGAGGAGGTGGAGATTTTGTACAACCCCAAGACCAAGAAGCACCTGGGCATCGCCAAGGTGGTCTTTGCCACCGTCAGGGGAGCCAAGGAGGCTGTTCAGCACTTGCATAGCACTTCCGTGATGGGCAACATTATCCACGTGGAGCTGGACACTAAAGGTAAGTGGAGGCCGGAGCAGGCGGCCCACGGGGAGGGGCCGCAGGGAGACCTGTCAGCCTGACCCTGTTCCCTCCTCGTGCCCCCTTCCTGCAGTGTTGGGAGGCTCCCCTCTTCCTTGGGATGCCCCCACAACGTTACTTTTTTGCCCCCTCCTGAGGGGTAGAGTCACGTGGAGTTAAATGTGTTGTCTGTTGCTAGGAGACAGGTATAATTTACCAAATGTGCTTGGTCGTTGGCCACCGCACCCCTAGGGACCACCCGGAGGCTTCCCCACCGCTGACACCCCTCAGGGCCCCTCTCTGAGCCCTGGTGGCCTGGGTTTAGACAGTCCCCAGTGTTGTGTCTGTGTTAGGGGAGGAGGCAGTTTGTTTATTTGTGGGGAGCTGAAGGAGAGCCACTAGGATGCCTTTAAATACATAAAGAAAAGGTCCCTCAACTAAATAGAATCCTCTAAGGATCCAGGGAACCTGCCCACCCCCTCCCGGCCCCTTCCCCCTGGAAATGGGAACCAATCTGGGGCTGTGAGTGTTGCTTCATTGATAATGTTCCTGATAGAGTGGCCAGAGCAGGGCCGGCTGCTCTGGGTGCTCAAGGGTTGACACTGTTGTCTTCCCTCCTCTCTCTTAAAGAGACCGCAGCACCTCCCCTGCACGGGAATCCTGCTGGGTGCTAGCTCCGAGCTGGCTGCAGGGAGAGCCAAGCTGGGGAGGCCACACCTCCCACCCTCTGGGTCTTCGGAGACTCCTCCAGGATACTGGCTGGAGCGGCTTGCAGGACTCTAGGGTATCCCCCAGAGTTTGCCTGTGACCCTTCTAGGGGAGTTCCTACCAGTATAAAAGAAGGTGCTTACTGCTCTGAGAACCAGCCAGCCCTGTGGCAGACACTTTGGGTCGGTAGCCCACTGGGGTCCCCTGGGACGCTCTGCCTGGGAGGGCTTACATGCAGCTTCCAGGGGTTTTAGGAGCACAGGATTTAGGGGCAACCAGAGCAAACCAAACCCAAGACAAGAAAACCTAGACTTTTTGTGTTTTTTTTTTTGCTTTTAATGATTAGAATGTATTGACTGAATCTGTCCCGGGTGAGCATGGTTATGCCACAAACACTTGTCAAGTCCATACCACGTTCTGTGTCTCCCCCAGTTTCTCAATCTCTATGGGGGGAGAAAAGACTCTTTTAAATTCTCGTACCCCCGTGGGCGACTGGAGCCAGATTCCTCCCTGAGGCTCCACGGCGGAGCCCCTCCCCCGCCCCTCACGTGCCCAGCCCACATCTTAAGGAGCAGCCGGGTCTCACCAAAATTTCATTTCTGCAAAAACCAAAAAACCCAAACACAAAAACCCTCAGAGACTGCCAACTAAGTTTGTATTTCAAGAAAGAGACCAGTAAAGTGTAAAGTGTAGCTCCAGGAATGGTCTCCTTTGCATATGTAAGCAGCTGCCTCTGGGGCTCTATAAATATCATAACCTAGGGCCCCAGGTCTATGAAGGCCTCTCTCTGCCGAGGGGCAGAGGGTTCCAGTGCAGGCCTCCAGGCAGTCCCCAGGCACCTTGGGGCCCTCAGCCTGGTTAGAAGCTTGTGGAGTTCACAGTAATATGCTACTAGACTGTGTTTTGCAAACTCTGCTGGTCACCTGGCCCCAGATATTTAACAAACTGTCACCTCTGTGTCAGTTCCCAAGGCTTCCCTTCCTCTTGCTACAAGCCCCTGGCTATTAAGTAGAAGGGAGAAAAGATGGGGGAGACCTGACTCTTTCTTGGGGCACCGTGGCCCAGATGGTGGGAAGGGGCTTTGTGTTGGGGGTGGTAATTCTGGGTCTGGGTTTGGGGGAGTCCCAGCCCCAGGAGGCATTAAGTTCTGCATCTCAGGATCAGAAAAAATCATCCAGTGTAGCAGCGTTGTTGATCCTGAGTGAGGTGCTGAGGGGGTGGGAAGTCAGTCGGGGTCACACAACATCACCAGGCCTGGGGTCTCAGTCACAGGCAAACCATGGGAATGCCAAGCAGCCTGGAATCCCCATGGGGCTGCCCCATCCTGGAGCCTCACCGAGCCCCCCTTCCCCTGCCCACCTACAGGGGAAACCCGCATGCGGTTCTATGAACTGTTGGTCACAGGCCGATACACCCCCCAGACCCTCCCGGTGGGTGAGCTGGACGCCGTCTCTCCAATTGTGAACGAGACCCTGCAGGTGGGTTTATCACTGTCACTCTCCCCTTTGCCAGTTCCCTGATGTGCCCCCCCCAACCTCTGGAAAGCCTCACCGACTCTCTGATGAGAACCCCCCACTGCCCCCAACCCCTGCATCTCCAGCTCTGGAGACCAAGGCCTGGGGGCAGTGAAGCCTGGCCATGCCCACCACAGGAGCAGAGCAGGGTCCCAAAGCCCTGTGTTCCTGAGCTTCCTGCAGTGTGGCTCCCCTGGGGTCTGTCCTGCGCCTCCCTCCAGTCCTCCCTGGCACAGGCTGGGATTCCCACAGACCCAGAGCCTGCTTTTCCGCGTCGATGCCAAAACATTACTGAGTCCAGAGTCCTTAGTGTTTGGTGTCCTGGGCACCCCTCCACCCCTGCTCCCAAGAGCAGAGTTCAGGCGCCCCCTTCCAGAGCAAGACTGGCTGCTCCCCAGCCACTGCCTCCCAGGGCACTCACCGGGACAGCTCTCTCGTGCCCAGCCCTCCCCCAGCATCTACCCTGCACCCTCAGGAGTGAAGAGTCTGCTTGCTTGCTGGCCAGCCTGGTGGTTCAGGAGGCACTTGCCTATGTCACGCTAAACGAGGCTGGGAGAAACAAAGCCCTTGGCCATCCTCTCACTCCCAAGACCAGACTAGGTCATACTCCTGCCTGGAAGGTCTTTGATTTCTGACAGCCTGAGACAAGAAAGAAGTCCCAGCCTAAACCAAGATGTCTGGGACATCTTTGGTCTCTGCCTCTGGGATGAAGAAAAACCCTCAAGGTTCCCCAAGGGTTCCCTAAGGTTACAGTTAGGACCATCCTGACACTTCTCCTCCATCTCCCGCACGTCCATTCCTCATGCTGCAGTTCCGGAGCAGTCTGGCTCTGCGCTCCCCAGCGGCCAGGATGAGAAGGGAAAACAGCCCTGTTCATTGCACCTTTTCCCCCAATAGTCTAACATCTTTCTTTCTCTCTGTAGTTGTCGGATGCCCTGAAGCGCCTCAAGGATGGTGGCCTGTCTGCAGGCTGTGGCTCCGGCTCCTCCTCTGTCACCCCCAATAGCGGTGGGACACCCTTCTCCCAGGACACTGCTTACTCCAGCTGCCGCCTGGACACACCCAACTCCTATGGACAGGGCACCCCGCTCACGCCGCGCCTGGGCACCCCCTTCTCGCAAGACTCTAGCTACTCTAGCCGCCAGCCCACACCCTCCTACCTCTTCAGCCAGGACCCTACAGCAACCTTCAAGGCCCGACGCCATGAGAGCAAGTTCACGGATGCCTACAGCCGTCGCCTTGAGCATCATTATGTCCATAATTCTCCTGTGGTCACTGCAGTGGCTGGGGCTACGGCCGCCTTCCGGGGCTCCTCGGACCTCCCCTTTGGGGCAGTCAGCAGCAGTGGGAGCAGCAGTGGCCCTCCCTTCAAGGCCCAACCACAAGATTCGGCCACGTTTGCTCATACTCCGCCACCTGCCCAAGCAACCTCCGTTCCGTTCAAGTCAGCTTTCTCTCCGTATCAGACCCTGGCACCCCCTTTCCCCCCACCGCCCGAGGAGCCCACTGCCACAGCCACCTTTGGGACCCGTGACAGTGGGGAGTTCCGGAGGGCACCTGCCCCCCCTCCCCTGCCTCCTGCTGAGCCTCTGGCCAAGGAGAAGCCAGGCACGCCCCCTGGCCCGCCACCCCCAGACACCAACAGCATGGAGCTGGGAGGCCGGCCGACCTTCGGCTGGAGTCCTGAGCCCTGCGACAGCCCGGGCACACCCACGCTGGAGTCGTCGCCTGCGGGGCCAGAGAAGCCCCATGACAGCCTGGACTCACGCATCGAGATGCTGCTGAAGGAGCAGCGCACCAAGCTACCCTTCCTGCGGGAACAGGACTCGGACACCGAGCTGCAGATGGAGGGCAGCCCCATCTCCTCCTCCTCCTCCCAGCTCTCCCCGCTGGCCCCCTTTGGCACTAACTCCCAGCTGGGCTTTCGCGGCCCCACACCCCCCTCCTCGCGCCCCTCCAGCACCGGCCTGGAGGACATCAGCCCTACGCCACTGCCCGACTCCGATGAGGATGACGAGCTTGAGCTGGGCCTGGGGCCTCGTCCTCCACCCGAGCCAGGCCCACCGGACCCCACTGGTCTTCTGGGCCAGACAGCTGAGGTGGCTTTGGACCTGGCAGGAGACAGGACCCCGACCTCAGAGAAGATGGATGAGGTACCACCATTTCTGTCCATCTGTCTGTCTTGTGTTCTGTCTTTCCCCCTTGAAACATTTAGGATAACTAGCTAAGACCCAGAAGCAGCAGGGCTCAGGGAAGCCACTAAAACAGATTGGATTTGGAGAATAACGAGGATGCAGAAAGTAGCAGGGGCTATGACTGAGCAGCTGGTTTGGCTCTGAGCTCCCTAGCAACCACAGGGAGAAGAAAAATGTGGCCTAGCTCTGGTGCTCTCATTGTTAGGCAAGGAGAGTCAAGACTTTAAAGTCTTGGGGATAAATTCTGACTTGAGCTTTTTTGGTAGGAATTTGCTGAGACCCCAAAGAGTATGGGGCAAGGTGACAGTTCTGGGCCTCCTTGCCTGCTGGGTAGCTTGGGAGTGATCAGGGCTGGTCCTGACTCTCAGGCATGTTGGGGAAGAGGGACTGGCCAGAGTACTATGCTGGGCAAGGCCAGGCGGGAGCTCCAGAGCACTGTCTCTTAGAGCCTGGTGCCCTCTGAAGAGGTGGGAGACCACGGCAGGTGGGGAGGGCATTGAAATTTCCCTTCTCCGGCTGGCTCCGGGCGTGAAGAAGATAGAGGCTAGCTAAGGGGGGCAGGGAAGTGAGGAGACACATGGCCAGAAGCAGGCAAAGTTGTCCATCCCCTACCCCCTCCTCACCTCACAGCAATCTCATTGCCCAAATCTCCAGCCTCAGGAAGTCGTCCCACCCAGGGGTCGGGGCGAGGGCGCCCGATGTCAGGATCCCTTGGGAGGGGGTTAGGTCATCTTCATTGGCTCTGCTCTGCCCCCTTCCCAGTCCAGGCACCTGCCTTGGCCCTCCTGGAGGCGTCCTTTGGAGCCCATGGGCCCGGCAGGCGTGAGCACCCAGGGGCTTAGACAGCTCTGTGCCCCTGTGGGTGGGGGAGAAGAGGGTCCTCTCCTCCTGGGCTCTTTGATTAGGCCGGTTTGCTGCCTGGGGGAGGAACAGAGAGCAACTTGGCCTCTGGAGGGGGCCACAGGTGGCTGGGGCTCCAGGGGGCCTCCAGGCAGTTCTGGGGAAGTGGTTTCTGGCATGAGGGAGTCCAGGCAGGGTGAGCTGACAGGTGTGCAGAGGTGGGGGGGTTACCAGCCCTGCCGCCCTCCCTCCGTCCCTCCCTCCCTCTGGACTGCCTGGGGTTGGAGGGTGTTTCCATGCTCACCAGCTGGTCCAGAGCTGAGTAGCTGGAGGGCATGGGCTCCCCCACAGTGGCACGGAAGGGGAGACTAAGGCCCTGAGAGCAGGGGCTGGGATGGCCCAGGGCTCAAGCCCCGGGAACCTGGAGCGCCCATCTCCGGGCCGGCCCTCGGGCGCCCCCTGCTGGCGGTCGGGAGAGCGGCATCCGGGCTGCGCGGGGCTGAGCCGACAGGTGAGCTGCACCCACAGTCCCAGCCTCCGCTCAGGTTGAGCGGGGAGTAGTAAAGTAGGGGGCACCGGTCGGGGTGGAGGTTGAGATACCACTCTTCGCAGAGGCTGGTGGTTAAAAGAGTTTAGGCTCTACCTTGAGCCCTGAGTCCCAGCTCTGTCACTTACTGGTTAAGTGACCTTGGGGAAGGCACTTTCCCTCTCCGAGTCTCGGTTTCGTCATCTGTCGAATGGGCAGGTGAGAGTACCTGCCTCACACGGCCTCAGCTCAAGGGAGGGCTCCTGGGGAAGCTCCCGAGCCCTCGGTGCTCAGCAGATTCCTGCCGCTCCTTGCCGGCCGGGGGCGGAGGGAGGGCGGGCCGGGAGGCTGCGGCGGGGTCTGGCCGCCCTGTGATTGGCTGGCGGCCGGCGCCGGGTTAACCCTCTGTGCTCTGTCGCCTCGCTCAGTGGCGCTGTCCAGGACGGATGTCCCAGGGAGTTGTGTCTGAGTGTCTGGCCGAGCCTGCCTGTCCCTCCCTCGTGTGCACGGGGACCCTGAGAGGGAGAGCCTGTGTGCGCGTGCGCGCGTGTGTGTAGACGGGACCCAGTAAAATCCAGAGCTTGCTGCTGTTGCCTAGCTTTGGTGTTTCTCTTCCTCCTCCATCCCAGTTTCCTCTAGAGGCCTCCCTCACCTGTAGGTCTGACCTCTGATCTTGTAACCTCAGCCTTCAAAGGCACTCGGTGTCTCTTACAACCCACAAAAGCTCTGTTCCTCCTCAGCGTGTTCACCAGGGCAAGGTCTGCGCCACCCTCTGTCTTGTTCTGAGACGAGCCCTAGGGTGGTCCATCCCCCCTGCTCCCACCTGTCCTTGGCTCCCAGCTCCACCCCACGGTGAGGAGCCCAGAGCTTCCCTCCAGCTCCAGGCCTGTGCGTCCGGTTCCAAAGTGAATGGGCCTGTCCCATCAGAGGTCATCCTTGAGTCCTCCCTCGTCCACTCCGGAGCACACCCCTGGACTCCAGCAACAGCCCCTCACCGGGCACACGTCCTGCGCCAGCCCTTTTTCTGACTGGCTGTGTGACCGGGGTGGCGGCGGAGGTTCTCTGAGTGTGTCTCCTCACCTGTCAAAAAGGGTCACAGCAGAGCCCCACCTGGGGAGGTGTTCCTGCAGATAAGAAGCGAGACAGCACGTGCCTGCAGCACTTAGCCGCAGACTGGCCCACACCAAGTGTGCAGTCACGAGACAAGGTGAAAAGAATAATAAAGGGAAAAGAAAGAAACACATGCTTCGTATTCATGGCCCTGAGTGCTGCTAACACCCCCCCCTCCGATGTCACCTCTGTCACAGACTGAGAACGCAGGTGGGGGGAGCCACTTCCTGGCTTGAATCTGGCTCCATCTCTTATTGTCTGTGTGGCCTTGGGCAAGTTGCTTAAGCTCTGTGTGTCCCAGTTTTCTCATCAGTAAAAACGGAGATGATAATGGGGTGTTTCGAGGATTAAGTGAATTAAGTGAGTTAATGTATAGAAAGTGTCTAGGAAGCACTATAGAAGTGTTAACTGTTAGTATTATCTACTCTGAATAGAAATTGTAACAGAATCTACTTCCCTTGGTCTGTCCTGCTCCTCTCCCCACCTTCTTTTTCTCCAAGATGTGCTGTATGTGTCCTCCCTTCATTCTGGTTGTTCTTTGCCCCTTCCTGCTAATTCAGCTCCCCGAGAGTAAGATTTTTGTCTGTCTTGTTCACCTCTTTGTCCCCAGCACGTAGAACAGTGCCTGGCACACAGGTACTGATTGAATGTTTGTTGAATGAATCCTCCTGGTAACCCCGTGACATAGAAACTATGATGCCCATTTTGCAAATGGAGAAACTGAGGCTCGGAGAGGTCAAGTAACTTGTGCAAGGTCACACGGCTGGGAATCCACGTTGCTGCTCGCTGGTCTTGCAGGAGGCTGCTTCTCTGACTGTCCGACTCAGAAGGGGCTCTAGGAGCCGCTTGGCTGCCTGGGCTCACCTGACTTCTCTCTCCGCTCTCTGTGCAGGGCCAGCAGTCCTCGGGAGAGGACATGGAGATCTCGGACGACGAGATGCCCTCAGCCCCCATCACCAGCGCCGACTGCCCCAAGCCCATGGTGGTGACCCCAGGCGCGGCAGCTGTGGCAGGCCCTTCTGTGCTGGCCCCAACCCTGCCGCTGCCCCCGCCACCTGGCTTCCCACCGCTACCCCCGCCTCCACCACCACCTCCGCCGCAGCCCGGCTTCCCCATGCCCCCACCACTACCCCCACCACCACCTCCGCCACCTCCGGCCCACCCCGCTGTGACAGTGCCCCCACCGCCCCTGCCAGCACCGCCGGGTGTCCCGCCACCACCTATCCTGCCACCGTTGCCCCCCTTCCCGCCGGGCCTGTTTCCCGTGATGCAGGTGGACATGAGCCACGTGCTGGGTGGCCAGTGGGGCGGCATGCCCATGTCCTTCCAGATGCAAACACAGATGCTGAGCCGTCTGATGACAGCCCAGGGTGCTTGTCCCTACCCACCCTTCATGGCCGCCGCTGCTGCCGCCGCCTCAGCAGGGCTACAGTTTGTCAACCTGCCTCCCTACCGGGGTCCCTTCTCCCTCGGCAACACTGGCCCAGGCCGCGGGCAGCACTGGCCACCCCTGCCCAAGTTTGACCCATCAGTGCCACCACCAGGCTACGTGCCCCGTCAGGAGGACCCACACAAGGCCACAGTGGATGGCGTCCTGCTGGTGGTCCTCAAAGAGCTCAAGGCCATCATGAAGCGTGACCTGAACCGCAAGATGGTGGAAGTGGTGGCCTTCCGGGCCTTCGACGAGTGGTGGGACAAGAAAGAACGGATGGCCAAGGTGGGTGCAGGCCGCCCCAGAGTGGCTAGTGGGAGTGGGGCAGGGCCAGGTCCTGGCCAGACCCCTCCTCTCCTCTTAGGACGTGTCACAGGAAGCACTGCCGCCAGTCCCTCCATGTGGGAGCTGTAGTACCTGTGGCCGCTTTCAGGGCTCTGCTAACTGTGCTCTGTGATCCCGCAGCCATTAGCTGCACGTGGCTCTTTCAAATTTTAGTTAGTTAATTAAAATGCAATAAAACAAAAAATCCAGTTCCTCCTTGGCACATGCCACAATTCAAGTGCTTACCGCCACACGTGACTGGCAGCAGCCACACAGGACAGCACGGCTGCTGTAGAATGTTCCTGCTGCGGGCAGGTAGTGCCACAGCTGGGGTGCCCTTTGAACCTGGCCCACCTCACCGTCCCTCATGCCTTCTTTCACACAGAGTCCTGTCTTGACCACTTTTTTCCTTTTCCACGTGTTACTGGTCTATTTGTAATCTTACAAATGGTCTGTAAGGTTACAGGTTGCCTTCTCTTTACATAAGAGAGAACTTCGTCTTGAATGTTTTATTAATAAAATCCCTCGGTCACTACCCTCCGTCCCAGCCCCCTCTGCTCCCCTCCCCCCGAGGTGACTGCGGTTATCAGTTTTGCTGTCCCCCCAGAGCATGCTTTGGGAAATGCTGCCGTGACTAAGAGCTTGCTCTCTGCAGCGCAGGTAAGCGACACCTGTCAGGGCCTGTTCCTGTACAACGGGGCAATAGAACCAGAACGACACATCTGAAGTCACTGATACACAACCTTTTGTGGTTCAGCCTAATCATGTTGACCCTGCAAGATTAGTAATAGAAGCAACTGGTTGCTCTTCCATTAATAATTCTAATAAAAAGAGCCACCAGGCCTCGAGTGCTATGCAAAGCTCTTAACGTGGTTTATTTTGGTCAATTCTCACAATGTCCCCCTGAAGGCAGAGTATTTCAGAACTGCAGGTCTGGAGCCTCCCAGGTGATGGCATAGTGTGGCCAGGTGTGTGGAGAGTGAGCGCACAGTTACCTGGGCAGCTGCCACGGCCGAGAGGAAGGCAGGTTGCTCAGGGAGGGCTTCCTAAAGAGTTGGTGGCAGCGCCATAACTGTGGTCACTGTCCCCTCCTCTCTCCACCCAGGCTTCACTGACCCCTGTGAAGTCAGGCGAGCACAAGGATGAGGACAGGCCGAAGCCCAAGGACCGAATCGCCTCGTGCCTGCTGGAGTCATGGGGCAAGGGCGAAGGCCTGGGCTACGAGGGCCTGGGCCTGGGCATCGGGCTGCGTGGGGCCATTCGCCTGCCCTCCTTCAAGGTCAAGAGGAAGGAGCCACCAGATGCGGCCTCGTCCGGCGACCAGAAGCGGCTGCGGCCCTCAACCTCCGTGGATGAGGAAGACGAGGGTCTGTGCCCTGCCCCGCTCCCCCGGTCCGCCCACTGGGTACTGGGGGCCCCTTCTGCCCCCTTCCCCCGGCCCAGCTCTGACACGCCTCCCTCCCCACAGAGTCGGAGCGGGAGCGGGACCGGGACATGGCGGACGCCCCCTGCGAGCTGGCCAAGCGGGACCCCAAGGGTGTGGGTGTGCGGCGGCGGCCGGCGCGGCCCCTGGAGCTGGACAGTGGCGGGGAGGAGGACGAGAAGGAGTCCTTGTCGGTGTCCTCATCCTCGTCAGCGTCCTCGTCCTCGGGGTCCTCCACCACCTCACCCTCATCCTCGGCCTCAGACAAGGAGGAGGAGCGGGAAAGCACAGAGGAGGAAGAGGAGGAGGAGGAAGCGGAGGAGGAGGAGGAGGAGGAGGAAGCGGAAGAGGAGGAAGGCCCCAGGAGCCAAATCTCCTCCTCCTCAACCTCATCCACATCAGATAAGGTGCCCAAGGGGCCACGAGGCCTCGGGCGTGGGGCTGGGTGAGGGGCCCAGACCCTTAGGCTCACCCGACCTCCACCCCCACCGTCCCCGTCCCCCAGGATGACGACGATGAGGACAGTGATGACCGGGATGAGTCTGAGAATGACGACGAAGACACAGCCCTGTCAGAGGCGAGTGAGAAGGAAGCCGGGGACTCGGATGGAGGTGAGTGGGAGGCTGCCACAGCCAGGCCTGGCCGGGGTCCCTCTCTGTGACAGGGCAGAGCCCAAGCAAGTGTCGAAAATGCTTTTTGGGAAGGATTTTGTGCGTTTGAGGTGTTGACTCATTAAAACACACCCGGGATGTTGTATGCTTCCATTTCTATGAAATGTCTAGAATGGGTACATCCAGAGAGAGGTTTTTGTTTTTTGTTTTTGTTGAGTTTCTTTTTTTTTTGAGACAGGATCTCGCTCTATCACCCAGGCTGGAGTACAGTGGTGTCATCATAGCGCACTGCAGCCTCCAACTTCTGGGCTCAAGCAATCCTCCCGCCTCAGCCTCCCAAATAGCTGGAACTACCAACACGCCATGCCCAGCTAATTTTTAAATTTTTTGTAGAGATGAGTCTCACTATGTTGCCCGGTCTGGTCTCGAACTCCTGGCCGCAAGTGATCCTCCCACCTTGGCCTCCTGAAGTGCTGGGATTACAGGCATGAGACCCTATACCCAGCCAAGACAGAATGTAGATCCAGGCTGAGGGAGGGGGTTAAAAGGGGCTCAGTAGGCCGGGCATGGTGGCTCACGCCTGTAATCCCAGCACTCTGGGAGGCCAAGGCGGGTGGATCGCTCAAGGTCAGGAGTTCAAGACCAGCCTGAGCAAGAGCCAGACCCCATCTCTACTAAAAAGTAGAAAGAAGTGATCTGGACAACTAAAAATATATATAGAAAAAAATTAGCCGGGCATGGTGGCACATGCCTGTAGTCCCAGCTACTCAGGAGGCTGAGGCAGGAGGATCACTTGAGCCCAGGAGTTTGAGGTTGCTGTGAGCTAGGCTGATGCCACGGCACTCTAGCCCGGGCAACACAGTGAGACTCTGTCTCAAAAAAAAAAAGTGGGGGGCTCAGTAAAGGATATGTGGTTTCTTTTTGAGCTGATAAAAATATTTTGGGACTAGGTAGAGGTGGTGGTTGCACAACATTATGAGTATTACTAAATGCCACTGGAACTATTCACTTTAAAATGAACAATTTCATGTTACGTGAATTCACCTTTTTAAAAACAAGGATGACTAGTTAACACCTTCCACTCCGCTCCACACACACATCTGAGGGCTGTGTGCCGCGGCTCAGGTGCCGCCAGCTTTAGGCCTCTGGTGAGGCGCTTGGCGCGGGGTGGGGACACACAGGTACTAAGGTGCTTCCTCTCCTGTCGCTCCATCCAGAGACTGTGAGCATCGCGACCTCCAAGGCCGAAGCCGCGTCCTCCAGCGAGAGTTCCGAGTCTTCCGAGTTTGAGTCAAGCTCCTCGTCCTCCTCCACGTCCTCGGAGGATGAAGAGGAGGTGGCAGCAAGGGAGGAGGAAGAAGAGGAGGAGGAGGAAGTGATGATGGCCGAGGAGAGCGTGGCTCCTGCGGGCCCTGAGGACTTTGAGGAGGACGGGGAGAAAGCGTCTCTGGCCCCAGCAGCGCCTACTAGGATGGCCTCGCTGGGCACAGAGCAGGAGGTGGACATCGAGGCCGAGGCCCCCAAGGAGCCGCCCCCCGAGCCAGAGGAACCCCTGTTGCCTGTGGCTGTGGAGGAGCCTGTGAGCGGCAAGGAGCCCCCCGAGGAGCTGGGCCTGCGCCAGGAAGGGGCCGCGACGCCGCCGTCTCCAGAACCCCCTGTGGGGGAGGTGGAGGCCCGGCCCCCGTCACCTCCTGAGCGAGCTCCAGGTAACACCTGCAGCCCCCTGGAAGGGTGGAGGGAGGGAGGGAAGATGTCCGCACCGTCCCTGTGAATCAGTCGGGCTCCCTGGGGTGAATCCCGCCACCTTCCCAGGCTCAGTTTGCCCTGTAACACGGCATCAACAGAGAGTGCCTCCCTCGCAGGGTCGCGTGCGCCGACAGAGCGAGCTGACGCCTGGCACGTGATAGACAAACCCAAAAGGGGACCACTGGTCCTGTCACTGCTCAGTGCCAGTAGTTCCCCCATGTTGGTCCTGAGACTGTTGGTCCCATGAGATGCTCCCAGAAAGGAGGGCCAGGTGTCCACGGTCACTTTAGTGACAGGCAGGTCTGGGAGACGCCAGGGCACTGGGCCAGCTGTGGGGCTGCAGGCAGTGTGCACCCTCCACTGTCATGATGGAGCCGCACAGGGCGTGGGAATGGCTCTGACAGCACCGTCCAGTAGAACTTTCTGCCACGTGGAAGCATCCCCTGGCTCTGCTGTCCAATACGGTGGCCTCTCCGTGCAACAGTGCTACTGAGCTCTTAAAATGTGGCCAGTGGCATCGTGGAGCTGAACGGGTGATGCTGCTTAATTTTAGTTCGTTTTAACTTAGCCACGTGCCGTTAGCACTCACCTTGAACACGTCCCTCAGGCAGGAAGCTATTGTACAGGTGACCTTTGAACAACACCGAACGCTAGTTTGAACTGCAAAGACCCACTTATATGTGGATTTTTTTCAACTAAACGTGGATTGAAAACACTCATGAGATACGAAAACCCTCTTACATGGAGGGCAACTTCGTGTATGTGGGTTCTGCAGGGTCCACTACAGGACTTGAGTATGTGCAGATTTTTGTATTCTTGGGGGTCCAGGAACCAATCCCCCTCGTATGCTCAGGGACAGCTGTGTTTTGTTTAATGTATTTTGTTTTATCAGCCACTAACCATAGTCTTTGAATATCAACTTAATATTAAGGCTCTATTTTGTCCCCAGTATTATGTTAGGTGCTAACAATACAACAGTGGATTGAACAGACAAATACCTACATTCTAGGGCGGGGCGACAGATGACAATAGACAAATTAGAAAATGTGTTCTGTAGCAATGGAGTTACATGCTAAGAGAAAAACCGCGAAGGCTCTGACAAGACCTGCAGGAAAAAGACTGGTCAAATTTTATTCCATCACAGAGCAAATTTTCTTGGGCCACAGGAACTTTGTTCTGAACACAATGTGATAAGCTAGCAACCACGTCTCCCGCATCTCTGATTTCGTTTAGCAACATTTATGAAGTACCTACTGTGTGTCTGACACTGGGTAGGCTGCTGAGCCAACCTCGAGTGGTTTAGGTGGAGATGGACGGTCCCCTGTTCACAGAACCCTTGGGGACCAAGAGGGCGGTGGTCTAGTCGGGTATCAAGCACATAGTAGGCACCCAGGGACGTTTGAATCAAACAGTAATGGTCTGGTTTTTGCCCTCCTCTCTGCAGAGGACAACCTGGACGTGGAGCCCGAGCCCCCTGTGATGCTCCCCTTGCCCTCGCAGCCACCATTGCCACCCCCCCGACCCCCCCGGCCACCCAGCCCACCACCGGAGCCTGAGACTGTGGAGCCCCCTCCCCCATCGGTCTCTCTGGAGCCTCCCACTGAGGACCAGCCCCCACGTACCCCAGGCCTCTGCGGCAGCCTGGCCAAGTCGCAGAGCACAGAGACGGTGCCGGCCACGCCTGGCGGGGAGCCCCCGCTGTCAGGGGGCAGCAGCGGCCTGTCACTGAGCTCCCCACAGGTGCCTGGTAGCCCCTTCTCCTACCCAGCCCAGTCCCCTAGCTTGAGCAGTGGGGGCCTCCCACGGACACCTGGCCGGGACTTCAGCTTCACGCCCACCTTCCCTGAGCCCGGGCCCCTGCTCCTGCCCGTCTGCCCCCTCCCGTCTGGCCGGCGCGACGATCGCCCCGGGCCCTTGGCCTCCCCGGTGCTCCTGGACACGGGCCTGCCTCTGCCTCTGCCTCTGCCCCTGCCTCTGCCCCTGGCCTTGCCTGTGCCCGTCCTGCGGGCCCAGACTCGGGCCCCCACCCAGCTGCCACCCCTGCTGCCCGCCTCCCTGGCCCCTTGCCCGCCCACCATCAAGAGGAAGCCGGGCCGGCCCCGGCGCTCCCCGCCGTCTATGCTCTCCTTGGATGGGCCCTTGGTCCGGCCACCAGCAGGTGCCCCCCATGGAAGGGAGATCCTGATCCTGCCAGGCCAGCCACAGGCCCCCATCTTCCCCAGCACCCATGACCCACGGACCTTGACCCTGGACTTCCGGAACGCGGGGATCCCGGCGCCCCCACCGCCTCTCCCCCCACAGCCACCACCGCCTCTGCCTCCACCACCTGTGGAGCCTGCCAAGCTGCCCTTCAAGGAGCTAGACAACCAGTGGCCCTCCGAGGCCATTCCCCCAGGCCCCCGTGGGCACGATGAGGTCGCCGAGGAGTACATGGATCTGGCCAAGGCGCGGGGGCCATGGCGCAGGCCACCTAAGAAGCGTCATGAGGACCTGGTGGCAGCTTCAGCCTCGCCCGAGCTCTCGCCACCCCAGCCCTTCTTCCGGCCCCGCTCAGAGTTTGAGGAGATGACCATCCTGTATGACATCTGGAACGGTGGCATCGACGAGGAGGATATTCGCTTTCTGTGTGTCACCTACGAGCGGCTGCTGCAGCAGGACAACGGCATGGACTGGCTCAACGACACGCTCTGGGTCTACCATCCCTATATCCTGCCAGACATGGGGGCCACACCTGCCAGGATGAAGGAAATCCTTACCCACCTCTCTGCCCCCACCCCGGTCTGTAGCGGTCCATGGTCCCCTTGAAGGCTACGGCATGTGTCATTGTCACCTCCTAAGCAGTGTTTGTGTGCTGGCACCACACCAGGCTCCGTAGTGAGTCATCCCTGGCACTTTTCAACACTTTTCCTCTGTGCCGGGCCCATTTCACACCCATAGTTAGCAGGTCTCGGGGCCAAATGTAACAATGGGATTATATGACTTAACAGCATCAGAGACTGGCTGAGGGCTCACTTACCCTGGTCCCTTCATCACCTAATTTAATCCTCCAGCAGTCTAGCGAGGTCAAGGCTACAATAATTCCCATTTTACATATGAAGAAATTGAGGATCACAGAGGGCGAATGACCTGCCTGAAGCCAAGCAGCTACAAGTGGCAGAGCTGGCCGGGCGTGGTGGCTCACACCTGTAATCCTAGCTCTCAGGGAGGCCGAGGCGGGAGGATCACTTGAGGTCGGGAGTTTGAGACCAGCCTCAGCAAGAGTGAGACCCCGTCTCTACCAAAAATAGAAAGAAATTAGCCAGGCAACTAAACTAGGAAAAAAATTAGCCAGGCGTGGTGGCGCATGCCTGCAGTCCCAGCTACTCGGGAGGCTGAGGCAGGAGGATCGCTTGAGCCCAGGAGTTTGAGGTTGCTGTGAGCTAGGCTGACGCCACGGCACTCTAGGCCAGGCAACAGAGCGAGACTGTCTCAAAAAACAAAAGAAAGTGGCAGAGCTGAGATTTGAACCCAGGCAAATCTGGCTCTAGAACCTGGGCCGTTCACAATGCTGTCCCGGTGCCTGGTTACCGTAGCCGTGTGAGGCTGGAGCTGTCATCGTCCCCCTTGTAGCACACTAGTTTGCTGAGCACTCATTCTGTGTCGGCCGCTCCGCTAAGGCCCCTCAGCATGTTTAATCATTCACGGAGGCATCACTGTTGACCTAATTTACACGTGGGAAACTGAGGCAGAAAGAGGTTAAGAAGCACACCCAGGGCCAGGCAGCTGCATACTGACCATCCGTGGACTTGGACAGTGGGCAGCGGTGTGGAGGTGTCACGGGAGTGGTCTGAGGATGGGGAGGCCAGGCCCAGTAGGACAGGTCTCCCAAGTGACCAGGAGGGTTTCTGAGAGAACATCCATGTGACCCTTAACTCAAACCCACCTACCAGCCTCTCTTCAGCTAAGAAAAAGAAGCGGGACGATGGCATCCGCGAGCACGTGACGGGCTGTGCCCGCAGTGAGGGCTTCTACACCATCGACAAGAAGGACAAGCTTAGATACCTCAACAGTAGCCGCGCCAGCACCGACGAGCCCCCTGCGGACACCCAGGTACTGCCCTCGGGGGCCCGGACACGCCAGAGCCTCCCGCGAGGGGCACCAGACAGTGCGAGGGGTTGTGGAGCCGGAGGGGCTGTCACACAGTACTCGTCACTCGGGTGCCCAGGTGTGGGGTGGGCGGAGCCTGGGAGCCAGGAAAGAGCTGATCTTTGTCCCATTGGTGCTGGAGCACCTCCGAGGGGTTTTAATCAGGGATGCGAGTAGAGTTGCATTTCTAGAAGATTCCTCCATTCCTTTTCTGGTTCGAGGAATATCTGTTGAGTACCTGCTATGTACCAGACACTCTCCTGGCGCTATAGGAGTGAGTAAAACAGAATCCTTTTCCTCATGGGATTTATATTTTAGTGGGGGACAGGAAATAATCAAGAGAACAAATAAGCCCATGACTCTGGGCGGAGAGAAAGCTGTGGAGGAAACAAGCGGGGTTTAGGTACTGGCGAGCTGGGGGGTCAGAGGTGGTCAGGTTTGAGCTCGACCTGAAAGAACGAGCCACATGGATAATGGGGAGAGATGACAGAAGTAGAAAAGGACTTCGATAAGAAGTTAGGGCCAGGCGCGGTGGCTCACGCCTGTAATCCTAGCACTCTGGGAGGCCGAGGAGGGCGGATCGTTTGAGCTCAGGAGTTCGAGACCAGCCTGAGCAAGAGCGAGACCCCGTCTCTACTAAAAAAATAGAAAGAAATTAATCGGACAACTAAAAATACATAGAAAAAATTAGGCGGGCATGGTGGCGCATGCCTGTAGTCCCAGCTACCCGGGAGGCTGAGGCAGGAGGATTGCTTGAGCCCAGGAGTGTGAGGTTGCTGTGAGCTAGGCTAACGCCACAGCACTCACTCTAGCCCGGGCAACAGAGTGAGACTCTGTCACAAAAAAAAAAAGAACAGGAGAGGGGCTCACCAACTCCAGTAGTTCACACACAAAGGAATGGCAGGTACAAAGGCCCTGAGGCAGGCAAGACCTCAGCAGTGTGAGAGAGGAAAAGAAAGTCCAGTTGTGGCCGGAGAGACAGGGCAGGTCATCAGGGTCCTGGGGGTTGTGGTGATGAGGTTGGACCTGTGTTCTGTGGGTGGTGACAAGCCTAGGCAGGGTTTTGAGAGCAGTGGTGGGAGTGACATGGTTTGGTCTGTGGTTTTTGAAGCTCACACTGCAGGGGTCCGGGGGAGGCTGCTGGGGTTGCTGTAGTTGCCAGGCCCGACGAGAAGGCAGTGGGACTTGGGTGGGCTGTGAGGAGGAAAGTGGGTGCATGTTAGGAAGTGGGATGGGACTGGGGCTAGATCGCGGACGGGAGACAAGGGAATCGGTGAGAGGGCTCAGACACGTGTCTGGCTTGGGGAACCCGGTAGCCAGATGTCAAGCCCTGAGCTGGGAAGGCAGGTGGCACCTTTGCTTTGAGACAGCTGGAATTTTGGGGTTTCTGGAACATCCAGGTAGAGCAGGTCTGGCAGGCAGTTAGACGTTCGGGTAGAGTAGAGCCAGGGCAGGGGATTTCCGACCCAGGGACCTGAACTTTGGCGTCCTCGGGATGGAAGTGGTGATCAAAGGCCACGGCAGGAGCAGGCTCCCCCAGGAGAGCGTAGGGGCAGAGGCCTGGGACGCCCCAGGGGTTGATGGGTGGTGCCGAGGCCGAGGGTGGGAAGTATCTGTGATTTCAAATGCTTGGGGTGAATCAGAGGGGCCTTGGTGAGAGCCGCTGGGGCGGGGGAACAGTTGGGGTAGACACCCACCATCCTTCAAAACTTGCAGCCAAGTCGGGGAAAAGACAGCAAAAGTCAAGGGAAAGTGGTGTTGTAGTTGCTTTGAAGATGGGAGGAACTCGAGCACGTTCAGCTACTGATGGGAAGGAGAAGGCCGGGAAACAGTGACGACTGGGGACAGACAGGCACAGAGAAGCCCGAAGCAAGGAGCCCAGGACGCTGGGGATAACTGAGACCCAGAGCTCAGGGTGGGGTTGCCAAGGATGTGATGGGTCCCCAGACCCTACTAAGCCGCGCACCGGTCCTTGGCCTGTCCCCACAGGGCATGAGCATCCCTGCCCAGCCCCACGCCTCCACGCGGGCGGGCTCGGAGCGGCGTTCAGAGCAGCGCCGCCTGCTGTCCTCCTTCACTGGCAGCTGTGACAGTGACCTGCTCAAGTTCAACCAGCTCAAGGTGAGGCCTGGCCCCAACCAGGGCAGCTGGAGTAGCAGGGGGACCTGAGACCAGGGCTCACCTCTCCTCTCCCTCCCTCCCTCCAGTTCCGGAAGAAGAAGCTCAAATTCTGCAAGAGCCACATTCATGACTGGGGCCTGTTTGCCATGGAGCCCATCGCGGCCGATGAGATGGTCATCGAGTATGTGGGCCAGAACATCCGCCAGGTAGGCACTGCCCCGTGGGACGGGCCCTGCAGCGGGCCCGGGGTGGGCCAGCCCCAGACTGACGCCCTGTCCCGGCCAGGTGATTGCGGACATGCGGGAGAAACGCTATGAGGACGAGGGCATCGGTAGCAGCTACATGTTCCGGGTGGACCATGACACCATCATCGATGCCACCAAGTGCGGCAACTTCGCTCGCTTCATTAACCACAGCTGCAATGTGAGTGCCCAGCAAGGGGTTGTGATTGCCCTTTCCTTCGTGCCAGGAGGACCTGGAAGCCCCTGGCATGGGATCAGCTCAGCCTCCTTCCCAAGCTTAGATCGGCCGAGGGTTACAGGGGCTGGGTAGGGAATGTGAGGCCTTGTCCAAGGAGCCTTTCTCCTTGAAGCCTCAGTTTTCTCATCTGTAAAATGGGCACAATGAGACTTTTGTTGCCATGTAAAGGACTAAAGGTGCTCAAGAAGTGGTTGGTTCAATTAATCGATAATTGTGCACTTCTCTGCGCTGGGCATTTTTCTGTGCCTCCACTGGTCAGGCTCGGCCCTTCTAGAGCAAAGCTGTCTGGCAGAACTTTCTGCAGTGGGGGAAGCGCTCTGTGTCTGTGCTGTCCAGTGACGTAGATTGGCCACACATGGCGTTGAGCACTTGGAACGTGGCCAGTGCGACTGAAGGACCGAGTTTTAAATTAGTTTTAGTTACTTTAAACTTAAATAGCCACTTGTGGCTAGTGACAACACGTGCTGAAGGACAAGTGCAGACAGCTCAGAGCAGGAGGCAGGCCGATTCCGGGGTGGATACCCCCAACTCTGGGTTCAAGTCTTGGCATCGCTACTTAGTGCGTTACCAGATGCTAGTTACCTAACGTCTCTGTGCCTCAGTTTGCTCATCTGTAAATCAGGGACACTAGCAGTCCCTCCCTGTAAGTTGTTGGGAGGACCAAAAGGGTTACCACACATGGGCCCTTTCGGTGTGCTGCCCAGTCCTCCACACGTGCCAACTGGCATGACTGTGACTTGTCTGGGTTGGGGGCGCTGGCAGAGACTTCTCTGTGACTATCCTGTGAGATCTGAGGGGTAAGAGGGAATCGCCAGATGAAGTAAGCAGGGCAAGTGTTCTAGCCAAAGGGAATGGCATGTTCAAAGGCCCTGGGGCAGCAGGAAGAACACCTGGTTGAGAGACAGCCAGGGGGCAGGGGTGAGAGCATGGGGTGGGGGCGGGTCACAGGTGGCCAGGTCACTCAGCCTTGTCAGCCAAGCTGAGGACCCAAGTTTCTCTAAAAGTCGAAGCAGGCCACTGGGAGGTGTGGAGCCATGGGGGCGACAGGATCTGCTGTCCCTTTGGAAAGGTTTCCCTGGTTGCGGGGTCAGGGGTGAGCAAGGGTGGAGCCCTGAGTGTGGCGAAGGGAGAGAGAGCAGTGGGCAGAATCGAGAGATCCTTAGGCGGTAGAGCCCACCGGATGCGGTGGGTCAGACGGGGCCCTGGCCAAGGGGGATGCTGGGAGGTGGGCGCTCTGGAGCCTGGTAAGTGGTGTGGCCGCTGCTTAGAGCAGGAGCAGATCATGAATTTGGTTCAAAGGTGTCTCCGGAGCTGCCTCCGGCAGATAGCAGATAGTCAGACTTAGGGGTTTGGAGCAGGGCCCGGCAACCCTTTTCTGTAAAGGGCCAGATAGTAAATGTTTTTGGCTTTGTGGCCCAGAAGATCTCGGTAGCAACTGTGTATCGCTGCCGGCCCGCTGTAACAAAAGTAGCCACAGATGATATGCAAATGAATGGGCAAGTGGGCGTGGCCATGTGCCAACGGAACCATTTGCAAAAACAGGCAGCTGGGGGCCCTGGTTTGCTGCCGCCCTGTCTAGAGCTCAGAAGTGAGGCCTGGGCTAGCAGTGTAGACTTGGGAGTCACTGGCGCTATGAACGAAAATGGGAGCCCTGGGAAATAACACTTAACGTTGTCATTAGTTAGTGTCAGTGGCAAGGGGTCCTGGTCACCCAGGTAGGGGGTGGCTGAGACCCAGAGTGAGTGGGGGGAGGTGGTGTCACGTGGACATAAGTCAGGCCTCGGGGACAGGCTTGGTTGGGTGTGAGGGGTCTGCAGTGGTGGGGGCCCGGCCGGGTCGGGGGCTCACCTTCCCCTCCTCGTCCCCCGCAGCCCAACTGCTACGCCAAGGTGATCACAGTGGAGTCGCAGAAGAAGATCGTCATCTACTCGAAGCAGCACATCAACGTCAACGAGGAGATCACCTATGACTACAAGTTTCCCATCGAGGACGTCAAGATCCCCTGCCTCTGCGGCTCCGAGAACTGCCGGGGGACCCTCAACTAGGCCCCGGTGCCAAAACGGAAGGATGTCAGCTGCCGCCCGGGACTCTGGAGCGGAGACCCCACGGCCCGGGGCCCGGCCCCACCTCCCACCCCCGTTTCAGGTGCTGTCCTCTGCCCAGCGGCCATGTCAGGGCCTGGCGCCCCCAACACTACCCCAGGACCCCGCGGCTCCAGCCCCCCAGCGGGAAAGGGCTTCTCTGTCGTCCAGCCCATGTCTCTTTCGTTTTTTTAAAAAATGCTCCTTTCAGGATTTTTGTTTAAGTCCCACATAAACTCCTGTCTGTGTGTCTCTCCGGCTCTCTCCATCTCTCCCCATCTCTCTCCATCTCTCTCCTCCTCTCTCCTCCTCTCTCCTCCTCTCTCCTCCTCTCTCCTCGCCTTTCCCTGTCTTTTCTCTCCTCAGCCTCTTCCCGTGAATGCTGCTACATTGTTTTGTCCTCTCTTTATTTTCTTCCTCATCATAGAAAAGACATTTTAACCGTTGAAATGTGAAGGCAAAGTCAGAGAGAGGGGACCCCGCTGGGGGCTGCAGAGGCCTCGGTTTGACTGGTGTTGGCCCGTGTTCTGGAACCTTCCTGGCCCGGGCACTGGGCCGGGTGCTGCGGGGAGGAGGTCAGGGGCCGGGCCAGCGGCCTTGACCTCGGAACACTACGTACCTGGAAGGCCCCCCTCTCTGTCCGTGGACACAGTGAGGAGACCCCACACGTCCCCCACCTGCTCCCCAGCCTGTCCCTTCCCCAGCAGCCTGGGGGCGCCATTTACCCGGGCAGACCCTGGCGGAGCCAAGGTGGGCCCAGACAGGAGTTTCCTCTCTGGGCTGTCCCTGCCACCCCACACCCCTCCACCCCCAAACCTTGGGTTCAATGTTTACTTTCTCATTCGGATGCCAGCAACGAGGGAGCCTCCCGGAGGCCCCAGTGCAGGCAGGGGGCGCTGGGAAGGGTCGCCCCTCCTCTCTTCTGCCCTTGCCTTCACCCTGGGCGTGAGGGGGGCTCCCAGGGCAGGCGGGTCCCCCAGGCCCGCCATTACGGGTTGTGTGACCGTCTGCATGTGGCATTTGTTGTTTATAAGCTTCACCCCCTCACCCCAGCCCACACCCGCCTCCCCTGCCAGCGGCCCCTCACCCCAGGAAGGCCAGAGCATATTTATTTTCAGAGCGAGCAGGCTATTTCTCCCAGAGAAAGGAAAATCTTGGAAAAGATTTTAAAACTCAGATCTAAGTCTTTGACAGCTTTTTTTTTCTTTTAACCCTTTTTACCAACTTCCCATCCTCTTCAGGGTTTATTTCCATGGAATTTTTTTTTTCCTTGTGTGTGTATAAAATCAAAACAGAGGGGAAAAATACAGGTTTTTGAAGTTCAGAACCAACTTCTGTATATAGGCTGCCATAAAGGACTTTTTCTTGGGAACATTGTTTCTTGTAGAAACATGTGGGAAGACTTTTTTGCTCATTTCTTTGTACTTCCAAAACAAACAAACAAACAAAAAAAAACGACACACACAAAAGCAAGTCCTCCCCGTACCCCAGAAAGCAGAGCAGGCGTGTACATAATTTCTGGAAGGTGACCGTTGTGACCAGGAGTCCTCACCAAGATGAGAGCGCTCCAGGCGGACGCAGGCGGCTGGAGCCTCTGGTATCTCAGCTTGTGTCAAGCTTGTTATCATGTAAATTCTGTACAAAGAATTGTTATTTTTCTCTTTTTCGTCGTTGGTGGTTTTGTTGTGTTTTTTTTTTTTTTTTTTTTTTTATTTCTTCACCCCAGGCCCTCTCTATTTGAGACTGTGCCTGCCCGGTTTCAAGGTTGAGGAAACCGGTGGCATTAAGACACAGAGGGGGGTACCTGGGCACAGCAGCGACCTTCTCTTCCGTTTGCGGTTTTCTGCCTAATTGTGCAACCGAGGAAATATTTATTTTTCACATGAGGAAATGTGTAGTTTGTAGGGATGGCTGATTTAAGTTACTTGCGCAGCCCCCAAGGGGCTGTCTTTAATCTGGTCCCCCACCCTTCCCGATAGAGATCGGCCCAGCCTCACCCCTCCCCTGGCCTCGCCTCGCCCAACCATGGTGCCCAGTTTTGACCTTGGCCAGCTTCCACTAAGGGACTGGGCCCGCCCTCTCCCCGGGAACCCCCACCCCAGCCCCAGAATGGTTTGCATTAATCCAGAAATGTGTTGGCTCATTTTTCTTTAAACTCTTAAATTTTCATTGAACAGATCTCTGCTTTTGAAGAGTCTGGGGTCTCTGCTACTTTTTGTTTCCTTTTCTCTCCCCCCTCCCCCTACAAAGAAGAGAACCAATAAGTTGTAGGGATGTTTGTGTGTATAGACTCTGTCATCCGTATGTAACTTGTTTTGAAGAGAAGTGTTTCCGTTGCGAGTGTGTCTTGCTGTAAATATTTGTTCATATTTTTGTGAATTCAATACTATGTACCATTGTATTATAGTAACTTTTATAAAGCAAACCATAAATATACTGACTTTTCTTACAGATACGCCGTCTCTCTTGCTCTCCTCTCTCTCCCTCTCCTTCTCGTTCTTTCTTTCTGTTGGGAGCACACCCTGTTCACATGGAGGCTGGGCTAGCCAGGTTCAGGCGCAGAAGTGTGTGGGGTGGGGTTGTCCACTCAGACCATCGGTCTGGATTTTTTTTGTTAGAGGCACGGTCTCTGTCACCCAGACTAGAGTGCAGTGGCACAGTCTTAGCTCACTATAACCCTGAACACCATCCATCAATTCTTTTTTTTTTTTTTTTATGAGACAGAGTGTCACTCTGATGCCTGGGGTAGAGTGCATGGTGTCATCATAGCTCTCTGCAACCTCAAACTCCTAGGCTTAAGCCTCCCAAATAGCTGGGACTATAGGTGTGCGCCACCACACTCGGCTAATTTTTTCTATTTTTGATAGAGACAAAGTCTCACTCTTGCTCAGGCTGGTCTCCAACTTCTGGCCACAAGCAATCCTCCCGCCTCATGCTCCTGGAGTAATTCTTCTTAAACTCTGACCCTGTAGGTAGATTCTGTGACTGGGCTAAAATTATACTCAAACTAGACCTTCCACAGCTTTTAAGTTTTCCTTTTAGATTTTTTTTTTTAAACCTTAGGTATCTAACACTGCTAATAGTCTGCAATTAAGGAAACAAGATCAAGTATCCTGTTACTATCACTAGAAGAACTTGGAAAGATGGTTCCTCAAAAATGTTTAACACTTAAGGAGACACCCTTGTGGTCTGCGTTTGAGGGGGGAGAGGCTGACAAAACATTAATAGTACAAGTTGAGAAGAATTAAATATGTCCAATATTTGTAGCATTCTAGAGGTGCTTTACCCTAGTAGGTCTCGGCTCTGCCTGCTCCAGCAGAGAGGTGACAAGTGGCCCACGGTTGGTGTCCATGGTATCTCAGAGAAGGAAAGATGTGAAACCTCAGCAAAAAGCCGGGCGCAGTGGCTGATGCCTATAATCTCAGCACTCTGGGAAGCCAGGGCAGGAGGATCGCTTCAGCCCAGGAGTTTGAGGTTACAGTGAGCTATGATGACACCAATTTGTTTGAAAACATGCAGGCAAGATAAAATACATCTGTGAGGCAGATTTGGCCTGCAAGCCATTGGTTTGCAGCCTTCCGGGTTATAGAATTTCCCTTCTTTGCATAAAGTCATGGGAGAATAGAAAGAGGGTATTTTTGCATGGGCCTGGGTCCTGTTTCTCTGGGTTCTCTTTTTTTTCTTTTCTCACCACCCCCCACCACCTCTCATTTGTCAAGTTTATGATCCCAGAAGCCATGATTTCTTATATAATCTGAGAAAATCCCCTGATTTTCCTCATTATACCAACTTGGATTTTTTTTCAGAGGAGGTGGGAACAGGGTCTCGTTCTGTTGCTCAGGCTGGCGCGTGGTGCAATCATAGCTCACTGCGACCTCTAACTCCTGGGCTCAAGTGATCCTCCTGCCTCAGCTTCCTGAGAAGCTGGGACTACAGGCATGCACCACCACGCCCAGCTAATTAAAAAAAAATTTTTTTTATAGAAACAGGGTCTTGCTATGTTGCTCAGGCTGGTCTCAAGTTCCTGCCTCAAGGGATCCTTCTGCCTTGGCTTCCCAAAGTGCTAGGATTACAGGCGTGAGCCACTATATCAGTGGATTTTTTTTCTTACACTAAGACCTGCCTGCTCCTAGTTCTGAGTTGGCTTATTCTCAGGGAGGGGTGTCAAGCATTGGAAGCAAAGACCCAATTTGTCCCCCACCTGTTCTCTGGTTTTGAAGAAAGAATTTCCTTCCAAGGGTTTTAGGACCAGCAGCTCCTCTCCCAGTTGCCTCATTCTTTTGCAGGGATCACTCCCACTTGGGTTTCCAAAGGGAGGACATTGGAAACAAGGCGTGGGGCAGTGGTGACTGCCCTGATGAGGATGGAGGCGGGAAGGGGGGCTCAGATCCCTCCTACCTGCTCTCTCTCTCAAACTAGGATCCAAGGCACCACGTCCTGTGGTTGCTGGGCAAGGATGCTGCCCCTAAAGTCCTTCGGCTAGCACTCTCCCCTCGAATGTTCAGAGGTTGGGCTATGAGTGACAAACTGAGGACTGCTCATCTTTAGAGATCATAAAGCCATCAGACAAGATGCTGCCAAGCTCCGTTCCACCTCAGGGCCTTTCCCTTGCTGTTCCCTCTTCCTGGCATACTCTTTCCCCGGATTTTCCCACACCTGGCTCCCAAATGTCACCTCCTGGGGGGGGGGGGCCTTCCCTCACAGAAATTAGTTTCCCTGCTATCTTCACCTCCACGCAATCTCATCATCTGCTTTATTGTCTCAGAGCGTTTGCCACTCTATAAAAGGCATTATCTGCCTTTCCCTAGTGTGTCAGTCCCCTGCCTCCTCTGGTTCCAGGACTCCGCCGACCGGCTCGGGTGCAGCGGCGCTCGGAACCCCTAACGCGGACGCCCCGGCAGCGCTGGCGCCGTGGGCTCCCCCTGGCGGCGAAGTGGCGCCATTGCTCCACGCCGGGCACAAACACCACACGCACTGGACCCGGTCCGCTTTACTCAGGAGGGCGGGAGCAAAGAGTGGCACGAGTGAGGGGGCGTGGCCAGGAGGTGGGCGGAGCCTGGGAGGGCCCAGAGTCGGCTGGTGGGCGGGGTCTAGAGGGAGTGGCCAATGGGGAGAGCATCTGATATTCTGGGCCTGGGAGACGGGCGTGTTCCAGAAACAGGGGGCGGAGCCTCAATGGGTCAAACGCTGTGGGCGGGGCCTACGTTGTGGGCGGGGCCTACGTGCCGGGCGCCGCCCCGTTTGTCTCCAAGTCGGTGAGGTTGCCACGC